TTCGTCCGTTCGCTCTTGCGAATTCGCCCCGTCTCTCGCGACCGTTCCCCGCAAACCTTTCCAAGCCAGTGGCGACAATTACTGGGAGATGAAGCAGAATTGGGAGTATAAGTCCGCAGTAGAAGTTTCGATGACGGTATTTTTTGTTGGTCTATTTATATTTCTATTTTTTTCTGTTCAGTCAAAAGTCTCCTCTGAACATAAGCGGGAAGTGCAGTTTTTCAGACAGCTGATTATACGCCTCTGGCCTTGTGTTTGTGGGGGACGTAACAACATACAGGAAAGTACTGCTAAGCTAGCTATATGTCGATTTTCCGATGAATTTTTCTATTGTTATCGATAGCTATATAATTTCGATTTCGGTTTGAAATATACGGTGCAAGCACCTTGTGTACGTTTTGCGGAAGTAGGCGCTTAATATTGTAGATAAGACCTTCTAGCCATACTCTGACATACGCCTGGGAGACGTCAAGGAAAATAACTGAACAGTACTCCCTGTGTTCAAAAACAGTTTGAGTTTTTGAGGTTATTCCCTTGACTTGTTCAATTGTACCATTTCTCTATATACAAATTGATGATCCGGGATGATGCTGCGTTCTGTCATATGTGGCATAATACGTTAAAGAATAAGTTTTTCTAAGAGCTTGGAGAGGCATGAGAGAAGGCTTATCGTTCTGTAGATTTTTATTTTTTCCTAGTTTCGGAATCATAATTAACCCAATTTAGTTATGGCATTAAAAAGTTGTCCAATGTAATCTATTGCGCAAGTTGGGAGTTGTATTATCATTTTGGGTTTAATTTTGTTATGCGCATGTGGTGTGCTCGATTTTATGTAGTGCTGGTATTGTGAACGTGCCTGCAGCTCCATTTCGTTTAAACGTATTTTGCGTTGTAAAACTTTGGCTTTTTCTGCATCGCTGTTAGCCCAATAGCCATCTTGGTCTTGCCACGGTGTCTCAGCTGAAATCGGTGTGCTTATTTTGGGATGAGCTTTCCAGAGCGTGAATTTGGTTTTCGTAGGTGATTCTACCATGCTTTTCACTAAGTCCAAATTGATGATCCGGGATCCATTTTGACTGTGATTTTGTCCAGCCCAGGAGATTTATTTGGCTTCAGATGATCCTTGATGACCTTGGAGATTTTAGTTTTTGGAATGGGGTTTGGTTTATTACTGGTACTGTGCACGTGTCTGCAGCTCCAATGTTTAAAAACGTTGTAAATGTGTTTTGGGAATACGATGGCTTTTTCTGCATCGCTGTAAGTTTATATTGGGATGAGCTTTCTCAAGAGTGGGAAGTTTCTTTGGCCTGCTATTTTTCTTGCATCAGTATTCTCGAAAGCTTGCGTGCAGCAGCTACTGGTTTTTTCTCTGGCAGCTGGCAGCCCAGTGCTGTTCATGATTGGTTCTAGGTTGACATGGGACTGATATACTTTTTGTATTCTAGCCAATTCGTTATATTCGTTGTTAAGAGCTAATGGTTTCTGGACAACTGAGGGTACTTAAAAGGGTGAGTGGTCAGTTGGTAATTCAGATAGACTTTCGGCACGTATGAGATTACCGTGAATTCTTCTGTGTTGACTAAGTCATTTCGGGTCAGCTAGTCAGTAAGTAGGTCTTCCTAGCGAGACAAAGTCAAGTATATTGCTTTGTTAAATAATCGCGCTGTATGTAGTTGCGCTGTAGTTGTCTGTCTTTCGGTTTTAAAGACGATATCCCTAGTGAGTGTGCTTCGCCTTATAGTCACCTGCTGATAGGAACCGACCTCCTAATGAATAAAAGAAGTGCATAAATTGGCTTTCGTTAACAGCAAATCGCGGAGGGCAGTGAGATCATACCTCAGTTTAAGTTTGTGCTTATTGTTGAAGCCTGCAAGTAGGTTGTTTCGTAGATTGTGCTACATACGTTTTTTTTACCAATATACCAGTACCACCGTGGGGTGATTCGTGGGATTGCTATTAGTGTAAATTACTGTAAATTCGGAGTATTCTGAGATAACCTTAATGTCTATTTCCATCTGGTAGAAAAACTGCGACAGCTCTAGCTTGTGCAGGGAAGAACCGTTTGACTTTTATAAGAAAGTTCTTAGAGAGGACATTATTTATTAAATGTTTGCATGCCTAAACAGGCATTTTTTATCTCAGCGAGACGAATGGGAACATATAAAAAAAATTATTTATTTAGTCGAATGCGTTGAATAAAATTTAATTTGAAAAGGTGTAATATTTTTCCAACCCAAGCTCAATAACTCCACTTAAAAATATTTTTAGTATGTCACTTTCACCGCCCTTTCTCCTCAACCAAAAATTTTCTAAAAGTCTTGGTATGCAATTTTTATTCATTTAGCGATGGTGTTTTACGTCACGAACGCACCATCACAGCAGTTTTTCAATTCTGCGGGTATATAATAGTAGTCTCCTATGCACACGCTCTCGTCACTACAAGTACTGTCGTGATATATACTCTTGATCAGGATCAATAGCCGAGTCGAACAAGCCATGTCCGTCTGTCTGTCCATCGTTCTGCCCGTCCGTCTATCCGTCTGTCTGTCCGTCTGTCTGTCTGTCTGTCTGTCTGACCGTCTGTCTGTCCGTTTGTTTGTCCGTCTGCCTACAGATTATAGTAGTTCCTAGGCAGCGCAAAACGGAGCCACACCCAATCTAAGGCCCACAAATCTTGAAACGCTAAACACATCTGGCACGTCACTCTGAGACTCTGTGTGTGTGTTTTGGTCATATCTATCGGTAGACGCAAAAATTATTAAAATCGAGCTTATATTTTTGAAGTTAAGGTTTATTAAGTCCTCTGCTCTGTTTGAAGTTTGTTGGCTGAGTTATTTAATAGTCGGGAAACTCGACTATAGCGTTCTCTTTTGTTTTTATTCTGGAATTGCAAAAGTTTTTTGAAGGGGTTTTATGGCAAGCACAAAATAAATTTACCGGCGCAATGTCGTGAATGTTCCGTCTACAAGATAAAGTGATACAACTATTTTTGATTTTCGAGCGTGTGTTTTCTAAGAATTAATTAATACTGTCAGAACTTCAGATTTAGAAATTTGTTTAAACTTTGTTGAGTTCTAGCATACATTTTCGAAAACCTATCCTGATAACATGTATTTGGAAGTTGAAGAGAGATCTATTTGTAGTGAAATAAGCTATCGATGACCGTTAAAAAGCTGAATCGATTAAACAGAACTGGAAAAAATGGCATGAAAACAGATAAAAAACGGTATTTACAATTTTGGACTCCCTGCACCCGAAAATCAAGGTTTGATCTCTAGAGAACTTCATCAATTCAAATTTTTAAGCCTGTGTAATTGAGTTTACCAGCTCGTTCTTTATTGTTTCACGTAAGTAAATGCGAAGCGGTTTGGGCTAGTTTAGTCTCTACTTCGTCGGTATTGTCCAGCAGTGCGAACTTATTTTTCGAAAAGAGGGTTTTTGGTATTGACCAATTTAAAAACAATTTTTTTTTTTACTTGCGGGCTAAGCTTTTCCTTTACATTATGCCGGTTTGGTGCATTTTTGGTTGCGGGCTAAGCTTTTTCTTTACATTATGCCGGTGTGGTGCATTTTGTGATGACGGTACCAATATGCGTTTAGGCCGAGATTTGTAGGTCGGCTACAGTGTGAAACCGACGCTGTTGCCAAGCTTGTTGTAGTTGTTTTTGTGAGGGCGGAACTCACCGTTCAAACAGTGCGGTTAATAATGATCCAGATGACGTGTTTATGCTTACGTGTTTATTGCTTTGGCAATTTCTTTCCGACTAATTGGCGACTGAGAATGCCAAGGGGTTTTCCGCAAGATGATGGCGCGGGGGTGACCGATTCGTGGTATTCTTCGGTACTTTTTGCAGAGTAGAAAAATAAACGTTTCGTCGATCGGTTGTGGAGTCTACGCTCGGCTTCTGAGATTCTGGGTTTGGCGAACACAATTTAATGCACTTTTCGATCTATTTGTCGGATATGACGGGGCGAATAGGGAACAAGGGAGTTTTAACATTTTGTTAATTGTTTCTATGGGAGCTAAATGATATAATCGTCCGAGTATAATTAAATTAAAACCATATTTTTTAAGTATAAAACTATTTCTATATCTTAAGGTGTAAGGTTGTCAAAAAGGTCTACGGTATTTTCATTGACTTTTCAATTATTAATAAAATTGGTTACAATCATGCGAGTTAAGCCATATCATTGCTAACTTCATAATGAGCTGCTAACTTATAGGAGCTCGCTTTCCTATTGGCAAAAAATTCGAAGAAAACTCGCTTCGACCACGACCGTTTGCGCTTCACGTTGTTGTAAGTGACCCACTTTTCATCGCCAGTCACCATCCGCTTCAGAAACGCGTCGATTTGCTTGCAGTTCAAAAGCTTATTTGTGAGTCCAAGCAATTGTCGCAATTTTCGACGGCAGACCTTCCGGAGCGTGGCGCATCTTCGACAGCCATCGTTGTGCAGTGGAAATGAAAACTGTATCGGTAGTAGTACTGTAAAATATTTCGGATTTTCTCTGTATTTTGCTCCATATTTGCAACACTATAACTAACGAACGACTGAATCAAACAACAAACAAAAGACTATGTATAACTACGCGCTTGCAACGACACCTATCAAAATACCGTAACTTTTTTGACACCCTTATATGTTATAAAATGAATTAAAAACAGCGAAGTAATAGTATTCTTTCGTATTTATTTCCACTTGGGCTAATATGATATAGTGGTCCGATTCGGCTCGTTCCATCTTGTGTACTACTTGCGATAGAATGAATAGTTTTGGAACAAGTTTCATTTAGATAGCTTTAAAACTGAGAGACTAGTTTGCGTAAAAACGTTCAGATGGTCAGACGGATAGGCGGAGGGGCGGAGGTTTCACTCCGGACTGACATGGCTAGATACCTAGTGATGCTGATCAGGAATTTATATAAATTTATTATAATACCCTCTGCAAAAGTATAAAAGAAGAAAAAACAACCAGAGTGAAAAAAATGGATATACATACTTTTAAATCGCAAGTCTTGTTCAACAGAAGATTGCTTGGCTTTAAGTCCCGATGCAAGACGTTCGCCGAGTGTATGTACTTTAGTCCGCGCAATATCTGGTACAAGAAGTAACAGATGTGATCATTACTTAGCCTCTGAAAAATAACAAAAAATGAAGTTGTTAAAATTATTTACCTCCATTTCAATAAATTTAACTAACCAAAACAAGAATGTTAAAAAAATGTATGTTATTTATTGCTTTTCCTTTTTTCAACGAAAGTTACCAGATCTACGGAAACCCTTTCAAAGAGCTTTCGATATTCGGACAAAATGGCAACGTTGTAAAGTACGCGATAGTTCCGAAGAGTTGATAGCCCGGATCACTTCACTTTCTCTCTTCATTCTCTTTTTTCGGTGGGCAAACGTCGTCATTCCGGCAGCACCACGTTAAGATTCGTTACAATATATATATATATATATATATATATATTTTGCAGTAGACAAAAATACCAATATGGAGCGTTTTAACTTATTTTAAACTGGGCTTTTGATTTTCATTCGTTGATTCACCATCTGAACGATTTTTAAGTCAGCATATGTCATCATGTACTCGAGCAGACAAGCAGAGCGGTCTTGTTTTAATCGCTCTGCCAAAATCAGCAAAAAGGCCAGTCAAAATAAAAAAAAAAAAAAATTATATAAATAATTAGTTACGCAAAAAAACCCTTATAGGCACTCATAGGCACATAATTAAAAAAAATGTGCTTGATTGTGCATAATATAAATATATATAAAATTAAAACTAGAATTGACCAAGATGTCAACGTGGAAAAATCAATTGAATGTGCCAACATACAATAAAATACAAGCGGCATCCGTGCGCCACGTCATTTCCGACAAAACGATCGAAAAACCCAGAAGTCTCAGAAGCCGAATGTAGGCTCTCAACCGATCGAAGAAACGCATATTTCTCTTTCTACTCTCCGAAAAGCACCGAAGAGTACGATTAATCGGTATATCCCGCACCCCTTAGCTTGCTGAACACCCCTTGGCACTCTCAGTCGCCAATTACTCCGCAAGAAATCGCCAAAAACAATGCAAGTTAGCATGACCACGTCAGCTGGGTCATCATCAACCAGCACTGTTACAACGGTGAGTTCCGCCCTCACAACAACAAGCTCGGCAATAGTTTCGGATTCACATTGCCGACTTTAGCATGTTGGCTAAAAAGATGCTACTATTTTGCATAAGTCCTTTGTGCAGTGTGGGAAACATTTTAAGTGATAATATTTGAATGATCAAGTGGCCTGCACTTACAGATTACCAGTGCTAACAACTGTTCCCTTGCATGGTTCAGGTAACAGATCGTAAATTATGACTCTAGAAAGATTGACAAAGTGATATGCACAGAGCTCATAAAATCTTCTAATCGGGATTATTATCTTATTTATAATATCCCACGGAGTGCATTTATTATCCCTAATTTGGGAAAACATACTTGAGTGCGATAAGGGAGATCAGAACTACCCTGATATCACTTATAGTCAAAGACAGTCTATGACCGCTCGCGATGGTTATTTACATGTAATGTGTATATATATTTTCTTTGGCTCAAGTCGCTGCTGTGTTCAGCTCATTTACTTAAATTTATACGTGTTCATGTTGTAGTTTTTAAAACTGAATCGGCTCCTGTCATGAGATCATCCATGTAAAAGTCATTTCTAATTATATTACCAATTTCTTTATTTTTTACACTTATCTGCTATATCTACCAGAACTCTAGTAGCCAAATATAGAGCAGAGGCAGTACCATAGCTTACTGTTTTTAATTTATAGTACTTTATCTTATCTTCCGGAGAATCTCTCCATAATATATATTGATATTCTTGATCTTTGTCATCAATAAATATCTGTCGGCACATTTTTTCTATGCCCGCTGATATAACGTATTTCCATTTACGCCAATTCAAAAATATATATAAAATTTCTTTTTGGACTCTAGGTCCAACCCACGTTATTAAGTATCTCTTCTGAGTATTAGCTTATTACAAAGCGTACACAAATATTCAATTGTACACCTCTGCACATTAAGATGCTTAAGACATCTTGTGCATAATTGCACCTATTTAATATTTTACGATTATTTTCGTACCGCTTAGGTAGAAGTTTTCTGCGGAACCCAAACATAGGTGACTTTAAATAATTAAAATTTACGGAGGTTCTTAGATTCTTCGTGTATCAACTCGACTTACAGTTTTTTTTTCTCTTCTCTGTCTTTGAACTTCTAGAAACGTTTCAGCTGATAAGGAAACCAATTTCATGCAGGAAACCAACACACTGCTTTAAATACATGTATATAAATGTAGATAATCCGAACTTTATTTATGCACTAACATGGCTGAGGCCGTTAGCATCTTTTATAGTGCATTGAAATCCTTCCTTTGTGTGTTCCGTTACATTATCTGTCGAAATCCAATAAACCTAAGTGGTTTAATATGGATTTATCTCGCCTAAAAAATTTAAGGTCCAGACTTTATAATTAATTATAAAAAGATTAGATTTTGAAAGTTGTACTGCTAACTTTATGCACATGTTTATTATCCTGGGAAAGAATTGGGTTAATGCTTCTCAACCCAAAATTTCGCTTCTACCGTATTTTTTTCATCAAATAACAGTGTGATACAGGTTGCATTACATTAGGGTTTATAATTTAAAAACACGTGGTCAGGTTGTGAGTTTTTTACACATTGCTTATGATAATCGATACTTCCGATAAAAAAATCGATTTTTGAACACTACCTCACTATATACATATGTCAGGCCGGCTTATTAAGCGAAGTGATATATATGTATGAAGATGACGTCCTAATGTACATACAGTTTTATATCCTAAAAACTCCCTAAGAAATCGAGGATTCCAGTGGATGTGGCGAGGAATTCGAAGTTCTAAAGGAATTCCTCGGTAATTACTATGGAATTTCGAAAATAAAAACCGACGGATTTTTAGATCGAATTCCCCTCGGAAATCTCTCGGGAATATGGAACTTAAGCAATAGGCAAATTTCCGAGGAATTCTTGATGAAAATAATAAAAAAATCAATAGTAATTCCTGGGGAAAATCCCGATGAATTCCTGCGTTTATCCTAGTGAAAAAATAATAGTGAACACCCCTTGGAATTCCTCGGAAATCCTGCCATAAATCCTGGGGAAAATCCTGAGGGAATTTCCTCGGAAATTAGCTAAGGAATCTTTCCGGAAATCCTAGTAAAAAAACACTAAAAATTTAGTAACTTTTATTAAAATTTATATTTTTAACATTTATATATTATTATTTTTTTTTTTTGAGTTGTTTTTGGCGCAGGCTAAGGCGTGCACAAGAACTTTTCCGCCGGCTGCTGGCCCCCCCAACGCAAATATGCTGTCTGTAATCAAAATACGTATATATATATGTTGCAGCTTTGTTATTATTTTCCGACATTGTAATAGCGCAGCGAGTTTCGGTTTCACACGCACGAAATCCTAAACGCAACTACCAGCGTCATCCATTCTTCTTTCTGTGCTTACCACCGAACCACACTCGGCGACAGCAACACAACGCTGTCGCCCCGCTAAAACGGTACTTCTTAAGCGACAATACACATACAACCAAACAAAGCACCGTTAGAGGCTTCTGGAATTTTCCAGAGACTGTATACCCATACACTCATACCAACATCCACACACTCTTAGTGTGCGCCGACATATCTATATATTAGAATAAAATACAAAATCTGATGTATTTTGCTCAATATACTATCAAGTAAAAGAACGCTGGAATGCCTTTAAGGGCCTTTTTTCCGTTGACGGCGTCTATGATGAAACCGCAAAGAAGGTGCTCTGCTTAAACTCCTTTTTTAGCCTTCGGCAGGTTGCTTCGCTTCAGGATTGTGGTGATGGTCCTATTCTGTAGAAAAAACTTAATAAATTGCACGCTCATCTTCTTCATAATATTTATACTTACATAGGCGGTTTGGATCGGGAACGAATCGCGGACTTCTGCATTCTTGGAATTTCTCTTATGGAATATATGCAGCATGGCAGTGGCTTTAAAATCTTAAGGGTCTTCGTGTTGGCGTGCAGTTTTCACTCTAAGTCACGAACCCTCACCTTTACCTCTTCCACCTGATCCTTTGGTGGGGATCCTGGTAAGGGATCGCAGCTGTTTTCCGGGGTTTCCGTTAAAAAGTCGTCTTCTAAGAAATAAAAATTGTATTCATATAAAAATTAAATTAATTCGATTTTATTTGGTTTACTTACAATCCACAGAGAAGAGTAGGTTTTGGATTTTATTAGAGATTGCCATCTTCGTAACTACTTTAAACGAGATTTTTCTTTAATTTCAATTAAAGTGCAGTATGTGTGAAACTTTTATCGCAAATAAAAAATTATTATTATTATTATTATTATTATTATAATCTCTTTATTTATTATATTTATTTAATTTATTATATTTATTTAATTTATTATATTTATTAAATGTATTATATTTATTTATTATATATATAATATATAGTTTATTTATTATTATTGTTATAATTATTTTATCTGCTGTTATTATTTATTTTGGTTTAACGTTGTGAAATTTTTATTCCTGATAGTTTAGTGAAAAACTTGTTTGCAACTTTTTAACCTGACCTAACACAACTTTTGAGACGAGTAAAAATATCACAATAACAGCACTTTCACATAAACTGCACTTTTATCACCAAAAATAAATTCATTTGCACTAATGGTTTCCGTGGCTCGCGTTTTTTTTTTAACAACTTTATTTTACCACGATTTAATTTCACAATGCTTTAAACAATATTTATTTATATATATTTATGCACTTACCTGATTAATTCAAAATCAATTAAAGTTTTCACTTTTACTCTATTTCAGTCGAATTCAAGTGCAAAGCGAATGGGGAGAAGGGAAACGAAACCGAAAATTCTGCATGGCGCGTGCCAGGGTATATCCGACCATAACAATGACTTTTAATTAAAATCACATAAGGCAGATAATCAAACATGAACATGTTGTCTATCGCAACTTTACAATAACTTCCAACATGTTATAACATTAAATCAATAAAAATCATTTAAATATAATCTTAAAAATTGATAAATGTACCAGTGCGTACTTCGGCAGTGCCAGAAGTGCCGACAGATATTTTGTAAGCCTGCTTTGTCAGAACTTCGCTAGATGTTGTTTTTCGAACATGCCGCAGGAAAATACAGGGAAGGGAATTTCAGAACTGGACACGCATATTTTGCCAAGCATTTTAATTGAGTTTTTCCCAAAAAGATAAAATTTAGGCATTGGAATAAAAAGCACGCTCTAGTGTAAAGATAGATGCCAAAGTAGGCAAAACGAATGGAATGCTCCGACAACTTAACTTAACAAAATATTTATTGCCTAGTAACATTCGTCTACTAATTACCAGAGTCATTTTGACCTCCTAGTTAGCCAGCTCTCACAACCATTTTGTTATTAATGCCGTTCGCTTGTGGAACCAACTTCCTAATAGCATTAAATTAATTAATTTTAATGCACACCTCCATTTAAATTAAAAAAAAAACTTATAAAATTGTTAGAACCATAACTGTTAAGAAAAATAAAACAAAACATAAAAAACAAAATACAAATTAAGTACTTCTATGGTTAATTTTTTATTTTTTTTTTAACTTTTCGGTCATTAAACTGCACTATGCGGTATTTGACCCGTTTTCTTGGCATACATGTACTTTTTTTATGCAATTTTTAGATTTTTAAATGCGAACGTATTAAGAATACCGCAAATGTTAATATGACAGTCCAGTCTGTTATTATCAGCTGTCAGTCTTTAAACAAACACCAAGTGTTTACAATTGACTTAAATTCGGGATGCAGTTCGAAATTCATAATTCTCCAACGAAGCAACGTGAAACTTTTAAATTTTAAATGGAAATTCAATTTACGGGTTTGTAATATATGTTGTTACCTATATGTTGCTTATTTTCTGCGTGCATTTTTTTAAATTTGTAAATTAGCACATGGTACCCGTGTAGAACTTTTGGAATAAAAATTGAACTTTAAAGTTGTTTAGATTTGCACAGTGAAAAAATCAAATTATAAGATGAAGCTCATTTCGACTTTGGTGATTACGTCAATAAGTTGAAATTCCACATTTGGCGTTCCAAAAACCCGCAATGACTGTTTGGTGCGGTATGTTGTCAGGCGGCATCATTCGTCCGCTTTTCTTCGAATCTAAAGCAGCCGCTCTAACCGCCAATGGTGACCGCTACCGCGTCTTGTTTGTTCTCTTTTTTTTTTTCTTTTGATTAGGACAAAATTGAAAAATTATTCAATCGGATGACCTACTTCTATATTAAGTCTTCCACATGAAGTCATTCCACAAATAAACCGATAGGCTATTCAAAAGATAATTGAGAAAATATTCGCTCGTTTTTTTATATCCGTTTTGAAACGTAAAAATAGAATTAGTTGAACTAAAATTGTTCTTAGTAATCTTAAAATATATTATGTGTTTTACACCTTGTCCTTTGCGACTAGCGCATTAAATTAAAAGTTTTATACTTGTATCGTTAGGGATAATTAAAAAAATAGCGTAAACAATTTAATCATTTAACAAATTTTGTAGTTTACTAATTTGAAAAAAAAATATAAAGCAAATATAAAATATAAATATAAAGCAATATTGCACTTGAATTTTGTACTAATAACTTTGTAGTTATACAATACATTAGTTACGAATACACTCAAATTTTAGTTAGCAGCAGGAACAGTAGGAATTTAAAAAATATCTATTTCCGATTTACTTTTATTTTTCAAAATGATGTTAAAAACTATTACAGTATTTTGTTCCTTAAAAAATCTACACAAAACGAAAGTCGATATAAAATAGGTATATTTGCAGGCTGTTACATTTTAATATAAGTCTACATTCTTACCTGTGTTTTAAGTAGTTTATACAAATCAGTCTCCATTAAACACTGTACAATATAAACATCCCTCATTTGGTCTATGCTATCAACTCGAAGAATGTCTCGAATATCAATAATCTAAAAATGTAATATGATTTCTAAATTAAACAAATTTATATTATGATTCTATGAATATTTGATTTCTGGTGCAGTTTGACTCCGTCATTATAAAAATGTATAAAAGACATGTAAACGTCATTAAACATACATTCACAGATTTTTTCTAATCGAAAAAAATAATGAACAAATGAATTTTCATTAATTTGTTTTTTTATATTCTTTTGTGTTGTTTTATATTCTTTGTATAAACTTGAAAGAAAATCATATTTAGGCTTATTCTTTTTCCAAAGCGTTTTCTTTTGAATAACAAAATCAAAACAAAACTTGTTTTAACTAACAGTATTCAAATTGTAGCGAATCGCCAGTCTTTTTGCGTAAAAAGTAAATGCAGCTTGCGCGTTGCGTCCAGTGATTTGCTCCACTTTAAAAACAAATGTATTGTCAATATTAATTACATTTATATTGCAAAACAGGGAACCCCTATTTCACATAGTCGGAAAAGTCGTTTTAATTGCGTTGCGAAATTCTGACAGTACTGCAAGAGTATAAACAGGGATAAAATAATATTAATTACAGTTTTTGTGGTAAATATAATCGTTTTTTTAAAGAATAATTTTAATTTTTTTTTTTCTTCGACATATAGTAATGGATAAATATTTCAGAATTACGGTTTTAATTTCATTAAAATCGGAGGACTATAACATAAAGCTCCCATTAAACAAATTTAACTCTTTTATTTTTTAATTTTTTTTTAGAAATTCTCTTTGATTATTTAATTATTTAACAGTTCAAAAATACACTTTTAATTTATTTAAAATCTGAAAACGATATCATAGAGCTGCCATAGGAACTCAAATAACTGTAAATCATCATAGCTTCAATGCATTTAAACATATACGCAAGTAAATCATAATTTTAATGTCTTCAAGAATATAATTTCAGTCAGAAGTTTGCAACGCAGTGAAGGAGACATTTTCGACTCTTTAAAGTATATATATTCTTGATCAGCATCACTAGGCCGTCCGTCCGTCTGTCCGTCCGTTTCTTCGCAAACTAGTCTCTCAAATTTAAAGCGACTATATCATATAGCTGCCATAGGAACAATCGGAAATAAAATACAAACAAAATTATATCTTTGATGTTTTTTATTTTTTTTTTAGTTCTTCGACATATAGTAATGATTAAATATTTTAGAATTACGGTTTAAATTTCATCAAATTCGGACGACTACATAATATAGCTCCCATAGAAATAAAAACAAGAAAGAAAGCAAACTTCGGCAAGCCGAAGTTCATATACCCTTGCAGCTTTTGCAAGAATTAAACATTTTTGAAAACATTAAAATTATAATTCACTTGCGTATAAGTTTAAAAACATTGAAGCTATGATGATTAGCAGCTCAATTATTTGATAGTTATTTTATATATTTTTATTGTTCCTATGGGAGCTATATGATATAGTCGTCCGACTTTGATGAAACTTAAACCGAAAATTGGAAATATTTAACCATTACTAAATGTCGAAGAACTAAACAAAAAATTAAAAAACAGAAAAGTTATAATTTTTTTCATTTATTTCTCCGATTGTTCCTATGGGAGCTATATGATATAGTCGTCCGACTTTGATGAAATTTAAACCGTAAATCGAAAATATTTAACCATTACTAAATGTCGAAGAACTAAACAAAAAAATAAAAAACAGAAAAGTTATAATTTTTTTTCATTTATTTTTCCGATTGTTCCTATGGGAGCTATATGCTATAGTCGTCCGATTTTGATGAAATTTGTACCATAATTCTGAAATATTTAACCATTGCTTTATGTCGAAGAACAAAACAAAAAATTAAAAAACAGCAAAGTTATAATTTTTTTTTAATTATTTTTCCGATTGTTCCTATGGGAGCTATATGCTATAGTCGTCCGATTTTGATGAAATTTAAACCATAATTCTGAAATATTTAACCATTGCTATATGTCGAAGAACTAAACAAAAAATTAAAAAACAGCAAAGTTATAATTTTTTTTCATTTATTTTTCCGATTGTTCCTATGGGAGCTATATGCTATAGTCGTCCGATCCGGCTCGTTCCGACTTATATACTACCTGCAATAGAAAGACAACTTTTGGGAAAGTTTCATGCAGATAGCTTTAAAACTGAGAGACTAGTTTGCATATAAACGGACGGACAGACGGACAGACGGACGGACAGACGGACGGACAGACGGACGGACAGACGGACATGGCTGGATCGACTCGCCTAGTGATGCTGATCAAGAATATATATACTTTATAGGGTCGGAGATGTCTCCTTCACTGCATTGCAAACTTCTGACTGAAATTATAATACCCTCGGCAAGGGTATAAAAATATATAAAAAATAACTATCTAATAATTGAGCTGCAAATCATCATAGCTTCAAGTTTTTAAACATATACGGAAGTAAATCATAATTTTAAAGTTTTCATATTAATTCTTGCAATAGCTGCAAGGGTATATGAACTTCGGCATGCCGAAGTTTGCTTTCTTTCTTGTTAATTTTGGCAATAGCTGCAAGGGTAAATGGTATATGAACTTCGGTTTACCGAAGTTTGCTTCCTTTCCTGTTTTTTTATTCTTTAGGACATAGTAATGGTTTAGTAGTTCAGATTTACGCATTAAATTTTATTAAAATCGGAAACTGATATCATATCATATCTTAGCTGTCATACGAACGATCGAATAACTAAGGTAAAAATCTTCAAAGCTTCAATGTTTTTAAACTTATACGCATATAATTTGATATTTACATGTTTTAAGGAATATTTAATTTTTACAGCTGCATGCGTATATAAACTTCGGCTTGCCGAAGTTTGCTTTCTTTCTGGTTTTTTAGTGGTTTCTGTTGCTGATAAATCAAAAAATATTTGGCGGAGTGATTAAAAGCACGACCGCTCTGCTCTACTGCTCGACACTGTTTTGAGACCATTATAAAAGTGTGTCAAAAAAGTTGTAAGCGCGTAGTTTTATTTGTATTCATCGCATCGGGTCATGCTATAGCTCGCTGGAATGGTCTTTTCACGCGCCTTTGTTGTTTGGTTCAGTCGTTCATGAGCTATGGCGTATACATATTACAGTACTAAAACAAAGACAAAAATAAATCCTAGGCCGCCAATAAAATTTGTGCAGTTTATGGACCCGGTACAGTTTCTAGTTCCACCATACAACGATGGTTTCAACGTTTTAACGGAAGGCCTATTGTCCAAAATTGCGACAAAATCGTTGAATTGGTCGAGAGAGACCGGCAGAGTAGCAGCCGTAGCATCGGGCAAGAGCTGGGTATGAGTCATCAAACCGTTATAATCCATTCAAAGAAGCTTGGATTCACAAAGAAGCTTGGATTCACAAAGAAGTTTGACGTATGGGTGCAGAACGAAGTGACGCAGAAAAAAAAACTTTGACCGTATCGACTTGTTTCTAAAGCGGATGGTGACTGGCGATGAAAAATTGATTACTTATTACAACGTGAGGCGCAAACGGTCGTGGTCGATGCGCGGTAAAGCGGCTCACGGTGGCCAAGACCGCACATACGGCCAGGAAGGTTCTGAAGTGTTTGGTGGGACTGGCAGGGAATCATCCACTATGAGCTGCTCCCAACAACTGGACCGCTTGAAGGCAGCACTATTGCAGAAGAGGCTATCTTTGATCAACAGAGGCGAAATTGTCTTCCACCAGATATTAGACTTAAATCGCTTAATTTTAACCATTTTTAAGAAATATTGATAATTCAATAAAAAAAAAACCGCAGGACTTTCATTGTTTCATTTATACTTCCCCCTTTGAGCATGATGTAAGTTTTTTAGTCAATTCTATTCAATTCTATTGAAAGGTTCGTTCAGAGGATTAAAGTAGTAAGGAAAATGACAAAGGAATTGTCAAAGTTTACCTAGGAATTTCTGGATGACATGATAAAAAGGCAGTTGAAGTAGCAAACTTGTCGACATCACATCACAAATAATACTGTATCAAGTCAAGATTTTCGGTAAAAGAATTAAAAGGAGCGATATCAGAAGTGGGATCTGTACCAATTCCTGCTATATACGTGATTTAGAGAAATCGCACACTGACAGTAGACTTATTATGCAACTGCATGAAGAGCAGAGGTTTGCAGGTTTAACCCATGTGTGCGATCTTAGCATTGAGTGAAATCATTTTTAAAAATGGTTGCCAGCTGTTTCCCATACGCTATTTTGCTTGTAAAAAAGGGAAAGTGATTCGAATAGACTCTGTGTTGATTATAGAGACTAAAGCTCAAACACCGTTCCAGACAAATTCCTCGTATTGCTCAAAATTGCCTGATTCTGTGCTGCTAATCATTTTCCCTTTTAGACATGGCATGTGGATATCATCAAATAGCAAAGCATCCTGATGCTGTAGAATACACTGCTGTCGTAATGTTTGATGGTTAACGCGACTATTTACCAAGAAAGGAAGCAAGCTTCAAAAAGCCGCAGTCATAAACCCTTAGAGCGAGCTATTGCAATAATTAAATATTCTTTAAAACAACTATATTTCCATTTTTATGCGCGTATGTTTAATATGTTTTCCGCTAAATTATCTGATCGATCCTACAGCTGCTATATCATATAATCGTCCGATTTTAATAAAATTGAAGCCGTAATTCTGAAATTTTTAACCATTACTATATGTCGAAAACCTAAAAATAAAATACAGCAAAGCTATAATTTTTTTTCATTTATTTTTCCGATTGTTCCTATGAGACCTATATGCTGTAGTCTTCCGATCCGGCTCGTTCCTACTTATATACTGCCTGCAACAGCAATACAAATTTTGGGAAAGTTTCATGCAGATAGCTTTAAAACTGAGAGACAAGTTTGCGTAGAAACGGACGGAAAGACGGGCATGGCTAGATCGACTCTCCTAGTGATGCTGATCAAGAATATATACTTTAAAGGGTCGGAAATGTCTCCTTCACTGCGTTGCAAACTTCTGACTGAAATTATAATACCCTCTGCAAGGGTATAAATGGAATAGACAGAATTTATTGTTAACGTTAATGGAACTAGCCGAGTTTTTTATCAATAGATTCTTGATGTGAAATTTAATACATGTGATGCTAAAAACCATTTAAAAGGGGGTGCTGGTACAACAAGTGAAGTTGGTTAAGAATGATGACAAAACTTTAACTTACAGCAGCGATAATAGGGGAGCAGATTGCATGACTCGCGCTGAGAAAAACGGCACATGAATATGGGGAAGGGAAGGGTAACAGCCCGACGCTGCAGATCGTGTTTCGAGAGTGCAACTCGAGTGGTTGTTGGCAGCGAAAACAGAAGACAGACTAATAAGACTTATTCAATTTGTTCACGCCAAATAGGCGTTTGTATTTTCTAGAGCGACAGTTCCTCCAAAGGTCTCCATCAGCTGTCCGCTCTTCCGATCCAACTCCCTCCAAGTCTCCGCTTCGCTCTGGAGAGCACTAGATAAGTTATGTTTAAGAAGTTCCAAGATTTTAATCAAATTAAAACCGTAAGAAAAACCACTATACCTCAAAAAAAAATGCAAAAAAAAAAAAATTTAAAACAGCGAAATAATTTTTGTTCTTCTATATTTTTTATTTTTCAGATTGTTCTTATTAAACCATTTTTAACCGAAGAATTTAAAAAAAAATATAACTTTTTTCATTTATTTGGATTTTTACAATGGGCTCTATATGATTTAGTCGTCCGACTAATATACAACCTGCAGTAGAAAGACATCTCTCGGAAAAGTTTCATTTAGAGAGCTATAGGACAGAGACTTCTTTGCGTACAAACGGTCAGACGGACATGGCTATATTGACCCTTCTAGTGATGCTGATCAAATGTCACTGCGTTGCAAACTTTTGAATAAAATTATAATATTCACCGCAAGAGTATAATAAGATTACATATATGTAACCAATTTAATTTTTAAATGGCAGCTGTAGTACATAGTTGTCTGATTGTCAAGCACTTTTACCCAGAGTAAGGAATACATAAATAAAATAGATTAGCTTAGTTTCATGTCAGTAGCCCTTATACTGCAAAAATTTCAAATAAAAATATAAATATAAGGGATATTTTCACAGCTTTTAACAATTGTTCCTATGAAAGCTATAAGAAACAGACGTCCGTGCGCTTTTACCCCGATTAAGGTATGCATATAAAATACGATTTGGAAATATTCATGTTAATATATTATATACTGTGCGAAATATCTTCAATTCTTGTAAGTTAAATCCGATTGTTCCTATGGGAGCTATAGGATATAGACGACCGATCGGGGCGCTTTTTAAGCTTGATCTGCATACACATGTTTAAGGACGACTGTGAATGTTTCAGATCGCTAAATTTTAAACTGAGCTCGCAAACGGTATTAAAACAGACAGACAGACTGCCAGGAAAGAATATATATACCTAAAAGGGTATGAAAAGTCACATTCACTCCATTGCAAACATATGTCAGGAGCTATAATAGGTTAAACAAATCGGTTTGGTTTTACGCACTAAACTTGACTTTACCCCTCGAGTGCAACGATGGTGGGCTTATCCTTATCCTTACATTTGATATACAAACACGTATGATTCATTTTAATTTTTTTTTCAAAAAGTGCAATTCAAATAAATTCCGACCACTAATTTTATAAATACTTGAATAAGATTGAGTTTGACAAACAGGGTGTGTTGTTTTGCAATATTCAAAGAATAATAAAACGCTTTGTCCGACAGTGGTTTAAAAATTTTCAATTCAGATTTGATAGATATTGTTATCCAAACAAAAGCTAACAAATTGAGTAAGGGTGTGTTGTTTTGCAATTTTTAAAGGATTAATAAAAAGCTTTGTCGGCCAGTGGTACACAAAATTTCAATTCAGATTTGTTTGATACTGTTAACCAAACAAAGACTAACAAATTGAGAAAGGGTGTGTTGTTTAGCAATAATCAAAGGAATAATAAAACACTTATCTGTATCAGTACAGACAGAATTTTATCGTATTCCAAAAGTTAACATTGCCCGGCATACAACATATGAGGATATGGCAAGAAAATCACGAGGTGAAAATGATATTAAAAAATATGTGGTTGCTAAATTATATGGATTAAGCATGTGCGTTTACTTGTTTCACAGTTTTCATCACAAAAAAACAAGCTTCTTCTAATTGCAACAGACAAGCTGAGCGTGTGATGGAGGGAGAACCAAAATTAATTTTATTAATTGCAATGGTATACAAATAAAATGAATAATTTAAGAAAATTAAGTGTACGTAAAGAGTTAAAATATATAAGGCAAATATAGGAAGAATATTTAGTAAATTAATAAAATTATTCTTAGTTCAAGGAACTAGTGAGTTGGCTCGGAGGACGCCTAGCTGTGGGCGACCAAGCAATCGCACGTTGCTAATAGCGAACGTCCTACAAGGTCAGCTGTGAATAGCAACCCATACACAAAGCTTTCCCATTAAATACAACCTGTCTCCATCCTTACCCACACAACATCTCACCCCGGCTGAGGGCCGGGTTAAAAACTAGTCTCAATTAGGATCAGGGAAATGGCGACCCCGCTGTTCAATATTTCGCTATTTTTCGCAGATCTCTGATCTGGTGGACCTTTTCTTAATATTGAGTCGGGCACTCCCAAAAAACACAGAACGAAGATGAAAAAGGGTGCTGGCCCCATCCCAAACTAGGGCAAACAGTCGGGCGCCTGTACATCTGCAAAGTGCGCGCATTTTTCTGCTTCATAATTTCAGCACAACATCGTAGCAAGTATGGAGATCAGGCTAACATCGGCCTATATGGCCTTCTAAAAGGAGGACCTCCAGGCGAACAAGTCAGACGACTAGCCGAAAAGAGTGAGGCGCTCAAAATAGGCCTGGTAATCGGCTGCGACGATAATGCTTACCAGACTCAGTGGTGAAGCCCTACACGAAACAGCAGGGGTGAATCTCTTTTTAATTTCATCCTTGGCTCTAATTTGCTGATAAGCAGAATGGTAACCAGCACCCTAGGGATTTCAACACAAACTAGGTTCTTGAATAGGGGCACCCCTCTACGCCCTACCCTATAGAACTTTACTATCAATAAACTCCTATGTAACTTAGAAAGGGCGTATGCAAGGTTAAGGCATATGCACCCGATTTAGCAATCATCTTCTCAGGCAAAATCCACAAACAAACTAATGACCGCCAAACTAAAAAATACTCTCCGACTGGAGTGCAGAAAAAATACTTGGAGTAAATCCCTCGAAAACTGAACTATTGCTATTTACAAATAGATATAAGGTTTCACAATTAACCCTCAATACTAAACAACTGCTTTCTCTGCTTCAGTGACAACGCAAGATACTGGGGTTTAGTACTAGTCAAGCGTTTGAAATGGAGACTAAACAACCATTGAGGAAGCGAGGAAAGCAACATTTGCCCTCTACACCTGTAAAAACGCCATCGGGACGAAATATTGCATGTCCCCAAAACTCCTCAACTGGATGGATATACATAGCAATAGTCAAGACTATTCTGATATACGGTGTATCCACCTGGTGGCCTGCTCTTAGCAAGCAGACAACCTCAGCAAACCTATACAAGGCTCAAGGGTTTGCTTCTTATGCATAAGCGGTGCCCTACGCGAAACCCCAAACGATGCGCTAAACGCTATATTAAGCCTTTCTAGTCTGGCCTAAGCCGGCATGGAAAGGGCCAAAAAAAAACGGCAAATCATTTGAGAGACACTGGAGAATAGAAACCCCAAGCATATGGTCAGGTCAGGATTCTCCACCCCATTTTAACCATATCGGCGGAGGTACATATATACTCTAATCAACTCAACATCAGGAAATATTTTAGGCTTTGGGATCACATCAGCGTCTTCCAATCGGAAGTATTTGACAACTGTCAACAAAGATGGATCAACATCAACAGTTACCGAAAAAAATTTGACGCTCTTCTTTCCAGCTAGAAACATTTTTGAAAAGTTCAAGTTGATATCAAGTTCTGAAAAATTAACCGATAAATAACAGCAAATTGACAAAAGTTGCTCTTCTAACTCGCACATGATTATACTCCTCATTTGTAAAATTTACTTTGAGTAAATTTCCCTAAAGTGTACAACAAGTTATTCGAGATTTTCGAAATTGCTTTTTTGGTGATCGAAACAACTTGAAAACTATTGACCTGAACTTTCTGAAATATGGCATGCCGTATCGAATACAAAAAAATGTAGTACCTTCTTTGGAACCAAAAAACCCTTTTATTTGGTAAAAATTGACCCCAAACTTTTAAGTGTCAACCATTTAAAAAAAAAATAATTTTTTACATTATTCTTACATTACATTATTTTTGACATTTTTGTTTCAAATGATCCAGTTGTTCCCCGAAAAACAAAATCTGATTCTCAAAGCAACAAAATTTTGAAAACAAACTAATAATTTAAAATTTGTTAATAAAAATATTACTATTATGTATGGTATATGATAGATGTACTTTGTTTACTGGATTGGCTTTTAACAGTTAGTAGTTTTCGTTTAAAGAAAATTACGAAAACAGCCTTTATTGCGGTGCAACTGGGGTTATCCCCTTAAACCAGACAATATTTAAACCGACAAGTGCTGCTTTCTTACTTAGGGAGTTCAACTGCATCAGAAAATCATAATTTAGGATTTTTTTTATTTTAAATATAGAAATATGTTACGTTTTCGTGTTTAAATCTGGTCAAAATCGTTATTTCTCTGAGAGTCCTTTGGCAATATGTTTGATGTTCAAACGGTGAAATCTTTTTTATTGCAACTCTTTGGTTCGTTATTGTGTCATCTGCAGACCTGAAAACAAAAAATAAAATGGTTATTACATAATTCATAATGCTAAATTTAAAAAAGCTCATTATGAGAAGCAGGCTCTAACAAGAGGCTTACAATTAAGGAATTAATCCTTAACTACAGCAAAAACATGGTTTTTCTTTTGCTACTGGAATAGTAGCTCACTTTCCATCTAGGCCGCCTTACCATACTAGACAATTTTAAGCTTACATGATTTTTAACGTTTGTATTAGATAGATAGATAGATAGATAGATAGATAGATAGAAATGCCTATGTATATGTACTTTTTTTTAGCCAACGTAGTTTTAAAGCAGTCTGAAGAGAAATTTCCTCACGAACATTCTTCAGAAATCGCGGTCCATTGATATTTTTTCCTTATTAAGGGATATCCCGTTAACTTTTAGGTGTTTTTCTAAGCGTAAAATAGGCTTTATGTTCGTTTAAATGTATTAAACAGGTAAATAAAGATCAATAGCAGGATTTAAGAATTAAAATGCATGTTTTATATTTCAATAACTTTTAATTTCCATTTTTTCCTGATCAACAATTTGTTGATAATATTCTATACAAAATTTAATCCGTGTAAAACTAACGAAGTTACAGTGTTTCAAACGGGCCGTGCTTCCAAATGTTTACATATGAAAAATTTTAAATCGATTTACCGGAAAACGAATTTTTTTAAGTTCGTGAACATCAGACCTCAATATCTACAGAACCGATACTTTTGAAATTTTTAACATTACTAACTTAGATTTTTTTTTAGTTAAATAGAATAACAAAAAAATAACTTTTTGTAATTATCTCGGAAAATCTATCAGATTTAATATGAATATACATTTTGTTTTTCTGATAATTCGGTCACGTGTTATAATGTTCATCGCAAAATAACTTTTTTTCAAGGCGCCTCTGAAGATTCACGGTAATTCTTTTTCATTGAAAATTTTTTCTTACGTTCTTCAAAAGTTGTATACTATGTTTTTAAATTAAAAAAAATACATAGATGTCTCAGCAAAAAATTCATAAAAATATGCGTTTATGCCTTTAAAACCCCACCCCCCATAATGTCTCCTACGTCAAAATGTGGAAGATAACAGGACAGTTGCATTTTAATTTTAGCCTCTGTCGGATTTAGTTTTTTCAAGTATAATATAAAACAGCATTACTTCGTAATATTTTTGGCCAGAGTCAGGATTCTTGTCGACATGACAATAGCCGAGAGAAAGAAGCTGAACGTTGTCTTTCTTCCAGAAAAGTTCGCATTCGAACCCATTGCCCAATACTCATGCATATTTTGTGGTCTACAGACATTGGAAAATCTTTTTGAGTTGGAAGTTAATTTTCAATTGACTAGTAAGATTTACTAGATTATGTAGTTCATCCCAGATCGTAATATTCTGCAAAATTGTGTTTTATGTGGAGATTATGATTTGTGTCAGCTAAACGTTTTTCATTTGCCATGTTCTTTAGAGCTCGTTCGTTCAAGTGTCCCATTCGATAATGCCATCCGTTGATGTTGCTCAAGTGGATTTTCTGGATGTTATTTGATTGATGCTCTACGCTGTCCAAATAATACAGATTTCCGCGCCTTTGTGCGCGTAACCAAATTTCGTTGTTACCTTTCACGATTAGAGCCTCGTCTTTCCTGAAGTGTACCTCGTATCCCTTTCCGTAATCTTTGATATTGACAGCAAGCTCTGCCTGAGATCGGGAACGTAGTGTACGTCTGTGAGAGTAATATTCTTCTTCTCTCCTTTGTCGTCGACTGCAATTTTTATTTCACCCACACCACTTATAGTTGTTGTCTCGTCGTTGGCCAAATGTAGTTTTCTTTATTTCTTTTATATTTGCAAATAAATTCGTGTCTGAACTCATGTGCGCTGTACAGCCGCTGTCTAAGCACCAAACGCCAGCTTTATTCGCGCAGAAATCTTTGCCCTGTCCATTCGTTTTATTCCAGCAGTTTTTGGATATGTGCCCGACTCTGTTACAGTTAAAGCATTTTCTAGTTCCTTTGTTTCTAGTTTGCTTTCCACTCCTGTCCTTACGACGTTTCGCGAACATTGCGTTTTGTTCATCTGGCACGTGCCTTTTTTTTTCTGGCTTCAGCCTCCTCTTATATTTTTACTCTTAAGAATTCTGTGCGTGGTAAGTCATCCCTTGCTTCCATCGCGCACCTAAACGTTTCGAAGGTGTCTGGCAGACTGTAGAGTAAAATAATGGCCAATAAGTCGTCTCCGATTGCTACGCCGATTTCCCTTAATTTCTTTACGGCTTCAAATGTTTCGTTTATGTGCTCTCGTATATTGCCGCCCTCACACAGGCGCGATAATATTAGCTTCTTTAGAAGAGCTGCTTTTCGCACTGGTCCTCTCGTCATGAAAATTTCCTGCAGTTTCATCTAACAGCGTTTAACTGTATTACATTCCTCGATCAAAGCTCGCGTGATCTGCGGCTTGAAGCTGACTGACTTATAAAAAGGAATAGAGTCGCGTTTATCTACACTTCTTTAGGTTATAAATGAGGAAGAGAATTAAGCCGTTACTTTTAAGCTTTTACATATGATTCTCATCTCTTTATGATCATATCATTTACATTTGTTACTTTGATTTACATTACATAGTTTCAACACGTTGCCAATCTTATTTTTATACCCTTGCAGAGGGTATTATCATTTCAGTCAGAAGTTTGCAACGCAGTGAAGGAGACATTTCCGACCCTATAAAGTATATATATTCTTAATCAGCATCACTAGCTGAGTCGATCTAGCCATGTCCGTCTGTCCGTCCGTTTCTACGCAAACTAGTCTCTCTGTTTTAAAGCTATCTGCATGAAACTTTCCCAAAAGCTGTCTTTCTATTGCAGGTAGTATATAAGTCGGAACGAGCCGGATTGGAGGACTATAGCATATAGCTCCCATAGTTTTTTAATTTTTCTATTAGTTCTTGGACATATATATTAATGGTTAAATATTTCAGAATTACGTTTTAAATTTCATCAAAATCGGACGGCTATATCATATAGCTCCCATAGGAACAATCGGAAAAAAATACAAAAAAAATTGTAACTTTGCTGTTTTATAAATTTTTTTATTAGTTCTTCGGCATATAGTAATGGTTAAATATTTCAGAATTACGGTTTAAGTTTCATCAAAATCGGACGACTATATCATATAGCTGCCATTGAAATAATAAAAATATATAAAATAACTATCTAATAACTGAGCTGAAAATCATCATAGCTTCCTTCCTTGTTTTAGCATATTCTTGTTTTTAGATACTAAATTACATACGTTATTATCAACACGAACATTTCCCCTTTTTCTTTGTTTGAATTTAAAAAATAAAGCAAACAAGTATACAACATAAATGGAAAATTTGATTTTCATAATAACAAGAAAGGAAGTAACGAGTAGAAGGAAGCGTTTCCGCCCATATAAAGTAAATATATTCTTAATCAGGATCAATAGCCATGTCCGTCTGTATCATCGTCGAGATCTCGGAAACTGCTACAGGCTCTAGTAATTCATACGCAGCGCAAGTTTATTCAAAGCGAAGCCACGCCCACTCTAACGCCCGCAAAATCCCTCTGAGACATGTTTGTGTGTGTGTTTTGTCCAATTCTATCGGTAGACACAGATATTTTCAAAATCGAGCTATAAATTTAGAAGTTTTTGGCAATTATGTTTTGCTTTAACGTCACTGCATACTTGAAAAACGGAGTTCGAGCTCGAAGAGCAGCGGAGAGCTCCACCTAATTTGTGTGAGTAATTTGCACGGTGAAACTTTTCCATGTGTGTGTGCCGACATCGGTTTGTTTAATATTGTTGTACTCTGCCGGTGCTCTGCATAGCTTAGGGTCGCAGTAGGAGGGTTAGGGTGCTGCTCACTATTTGCTTCTAGTGTTGTCAATAGAGTTCGGCAGATGGTGTCAGCTAAGCCCCAATTATTTTCTTGGGGAATATTTATTTTCAAGTTTGTAAGTTGCGTAACGGTATCTAATAATCGATGAACTCGACTATAGCGTTCTCTCTTGTTTAAAATTCAAGTGGTTCAAGGTTCTAAATTTATTTGTTTTTTTTTATTTTGATTTTATTATAATCATTGAATCACTGTTTACTGCCGTCCAGGGGCTTTTATGTATAGCCGCAATTATATTTAGCCGCCAATTTTTTTTTTTTTTTTTTTTTTTTTTGGAAAAATGAAAACAGTGCATATAAAATTGACGTCATATATATTTAGGGAAATGTTTGAAGAAATAAAAAACATATTTTACATTATGAAAAATTTATTGACTTATAACCGTTCGCGCAAGTCGAGTCGCCGTTGACATCGAAATTGGCGTTGGAGATCCTGACCGCAATTTTTATCTGAAATCATAAAATCAAACGTTATTCCACTGAAGTGGGGTTTTGATAGTCGGTATATGATAATATGAACGTTTACCAAAAAAATTAAGCTTGGGAAAAAATTGGGTTTTTTTCGCATAATTTGTTCATAAAGTTTGCGTTAAAAATGGTCAAAAATGATTTTTTTCATGTCCGTAGAATACCGACAGTAGTTTTTTATGCTTTTGAAAAAGAAAGCTAGATGAGGAAAACCGGTTCACATTTTTTTTGGAATTCCAATATGAAAAACATGGTTTTGAGAAAACACCGTTTAAAGTTTGCGGTCAAGGAAAAGGGATCTTAGGTGCCTACAACTGTTAAGTGCCATATCTCTCATAATTTTTAAGATCGGCTTTTTAATTATTGCCAGAATTTTCTTGAAGCATATGCTTATCGATTAAAACAATAAAAAAATAGATTTTTTGAAACGTGGTCGGATACTTGCCCCATTAAGGGTTCTTATACTCTTGAGGCGAGAAATTGAGTGGTTTTTTTTAGGGAAATAATTACAAAAGTTATACTGATTACATTTGAAAGTTTTTTTTTTTTTTTTTAACTTGTAAATTTTGTTTTTAAACTTGAAAATAAAATTCCAGAACATTGGAATGTGCTTTTCAA